ATATAAAATATTTTTTCCCGGGAATTCTTAAAAGTATCTTAAAGTTGTCTTATGTGTCGATTTTAGACATTCTGCTTATTGAGAGATAGGTTGGTGTGTGTGACACCAATTTAAGTTTCTAAAAGGTAAATTGAATATTCGGGAGGGTAATTTGCTCGTAAATTGCGAGTTCTTATACTTTTTGAGAGTTATTTAAAATACAAAAGAAAAATCAACAACAGGGTTAATGAGAGACAACGCGAATAATTAAGTTTGGTAAATTTTTTTAATCTATCAAATTTGCGTTTAATTATCCACGCTAACTCTCATTAGCCCCGTTATTTGTTAATATTTTAAAGAGTGAAAGAGTTTTAATTATTGCTTACTGCTTATTTATTATTAGTATGATCGCGATTAAGTTATCCCACTGAGTTTATTAATACGCGATAGGATATGGTTAAACGTGGCTACGTTCAATAGAAAGCAGCTTTGCAACTGCTTGTAAAATTCTTCTATGATTGGTTTATATATTTAAATCCATATTTAAGGAACCAAAAGAACCAATTGTATTGAAGATTTTTCATTTTCGACAACAGTCGAGAAGCTACTTTTTCCGAATGCAGCCATTAACATATTATATTCGTGTTATTGCATATTTATGAAGTAATGTAGGAATATGAGTGGAGATAGATATCCGCGATAGGCACGAATAAATGAAAATACAAATAGGTAAGACAATAAGTATGGACGGTAGGTAGAAATTGTATAGGTAGAATGATAAGTATAGATAAGTAGGACTAAACATGTCATATGTACATACATAATTGGAAATGAGGAATTAAAAATTGAATAAAATTTTTAATTAATTTTAAGTTTTATTTAATTATCAGCATCTTGTTCTAATTATCGAAAATAAATCAAATGAATTTCAAATTTTATTAAATTTTCAGCTACCCCAAAATTATTTTTTTATAAAATTCTACACATATACAAATCATGTAACGCGTTAATATTGTATTAACTTTATTGTAAATAAATGTATAATAATGTTAGGTATGTAATATAAAATTTATGTAAAGACTATGTCCAGATGAATGCTATAATCATACTTTTGCACAACGATTAACTAATTAATTATACATTTACTGGAATATATATGTTCTTATTGAATATCTAAACCGTATTGAGAACTAAAAATAACATTTGTCTTGTCATAAACCAAATTGCTGCGTAATTAATGTAAATTACGAAATCAACGAAATATATAATAAAAAATTGTTTATTGATTTAATAAGTTTGATAAATATTTAATTTTAGAATTTTTTTAAATTTAGATTTTATTTTGTATATCAAACAGTCATTAATAATTTTAAGTAACTTCTTATTAAAAATTTCATAGAATAATCATCATTTTTTCTACATATTTAATACAAATTTATTAAATAAGTCATAAAGATTGGAGCTTTGAAGCAATAGTTAAATATTAATTTGCTTTTCGACATTTACATATTTAATATTATAGAATTACAAGTATATTTTAGTGACCAGTTTATTATATGCAAAGGCCTGTCTCTCACGTCAGATGGATGTTAAATTACGTGGTTTGTACCGAAAGACGAAATTATTTTTATCATGAACTATTCCTCGTCGCTTTTTGTGAAATCCATTGCGAAGTCTAGTTTGGTATCTCTTTAGAGATTCTTATACAGAATTGGAATTAATTCCAGGTTTTTTCGTTTGCAGTTACTGATAGTAATAATTTTGTTAATGAGTCAATGATAATTGCTATATATTTTAAAGTCAAATTGCAAAATTAATTCAGTGGTATATTTAACATACAATTTTCGCTTTCTTTGTTTTATTAAATTTTCCCACTAGTTATAATAATGTTAATAATAGTACTATCTTAATAACAATAGGAATTTAGTATTATATGATTTATATGAATATATTATTATTATTTGTTTAAATTCAAATTATTAAGTAAACAAATTTAAGTTTTATACAAATAATTTGCTAATTTTTCGATGATTGCTCTAACAAAAATATGGTTATGAATGTGCATATTTAATTTTCTAATCATTATTTTAAAATATCATTTTTAGGTATTGGACATCCGGCCATTGTAGAATATTTTTAATTATTAATTTATATGTATATACACTTTTCTATGATAAAATAAATGCAGATATTATGAGATTATATTTAACGAATATTTTTATTGATTTACATAATTTTTTTCAAAATTCTTTATAGTTTTTTAATAATGTTATCGTGATTATATGAGTTTAATTAAAAATGTGTGGGTATGAAAAATTCAAGATAAGTCGAATGAGTACCCTCATATTAGTGGGATATTAATAATTATAATTTTTGAAAAATAAAGAATTGTTAAATTTTCTATAATAAATTTTTCAGTATAAATGTTCTTTAAAATCCCATTATTATTTTCGGATTCGGCATATCTCGAACAGTTGAACTGAGAAACTTTTGTACTCACACATATAAAAAATTACAATAACGCATGTATTTTATTATTATTAAATATATTCCTATTAAATATATTCTTTATTATTAAATATATTCCTTCGTAATCTCTATTTCGTAAGTCATTCTATTCTATTCTATTTTTAATAATGATGATTTTTAGTGATGGATAGCAGAATATATTTTCTCGCGAATTTTAATATTATATTAAAGATGCGATAAAAATGATAATTAATTGTAATTGACATGCTATCAAAATTATTATTATCGTAAGTGGTCTGAAAGATTCGGGATTATACCTTCCTATAACAAGACCGCTGATATTTGATGGAATGCTTAATTTTTCTTTGCAATAGATTTTGTGAATTTGATTTAACGTAGAATCAAAATTCAAATATTATGTCGCTCTCCACTGAAAATTGTTTTTCTTTTGTATCGGATACTATCGCGTATCAGCGTATCGCAAAGCGGAGAGACTTTGATATGATGAAATTATTGGAATAGTTATCTTAAATGCGATGAAAGTGCTGTCATAAATATATTAATGACTTTTTATTGCGATATTAGTAAGTTTTATATTCGCAAGTTAGTAATTAATAGTAAATACGATCTAATTAAATGTTATATATTAGTAGTTATATATTAGTTTCTTCCGCGTTTATCAATATTTCATTCAACATTGATTTAGAAAAATTTGTGTTATTGTATGTATCTTCGACATTTTTGTATAATCCTGCATTAAAATTTGTTAATTATACTCTTATTATCAAATTTTTATTATATTTTGAATAGCGTTTATAATTGTATATTGTATTATAAATAATAATTATTATTTATAATTAGTAGTATTTATAATTAGTATTGTATAAAGTAGAATTGTATAAAGTATTATAATGAAAAATATAATATTGAAAAAATTGTGCAATATGATAGCTAATTATTGTATTTCACTGTTTATATTATGCAATATGATTAGCGAAACGTAATGAAATAATTAGACATAAAAAATTAATTAAAGATATACTTATCTGCACAAACGAGCTATTAAATTTATTATTAGTAGTTTATTTGTTTTTTATAGATGATTTATACTTACAAAGAAAAGAGGACCGTCGAAAAATTGGCAGAGGGACTCTAGCTTGTTTTTACTGAATTATATCTTAAAGTGACAATATATGTTTAAAAAAGATTGAATTTATTAAAAGTCTTTATAATTGCTAGTAATTATAGAGACTTTGATACATACTGTATAGTAATTATATTTGGTAATTATGTTTGATAAAAACGGGCTGAAAATTTGCATAAAGAAATGTAACTTTATGTAATTTTATAAAATAGTATAAAAGAAATATTATACAAGATAAAATTCACTAAATTATATAATTTATTATAATTTTCAATTTCGTTTATTAAAATTCAACAACTTTTATATATTTAATTTATATAACTTTTATATATTCCTATATATATTTATATATATAGGAGATGCGAAATTAAAATTTTTTCGTTCAATTAAAAATTAAACTATTCCTCCTGTAAATCACACTTCTATCCTAAAGATTTAATACAGAGACGAATCACATCTACTTTCAATGACATGATTTTATCGATTTATTGTGTCAGAAAATGTATGTAGTCACGTAGTTTTCTAAACTGAAAATGGATGTATGGGTCATTTCGACGGTAACAGGAAAAAGACCGGCATGGCTTCTCTCAGATTTCTCTCTGCTTTAAATATAAATTGTCAAATACCACTTCGTAAGCCTAAACATCATGTTTAATTAGAATAGAATTGGAGATTGTCCAATAATAACGATTCATGCTTGTAAGGCATTGCTTAATCAAAACACCGACGAAATATTAAAGACGAAATATAAAGACGTCAATTCTAGGGCAAATTTTCGGCGGTATAAAAAGGGTCCTGAGGGCCTAAAGATAATTGAAAAACGCTGACATTATCGACAATTGATATAAATTTGCTATTATTATTAACATAAATATTTGGTTTATGCTTTATTAAATTCATGATTTTTTATTATATAAATGTTTCATAAATAAATATGCATGCTTGTAAAGCTATATCCTGGTGAAAATTTTTCTCCGAATTTTTCATATAATTTTTTAGAATTTCTATAATTTTTCAGAATTTTTTTATAATTTTATAATTTTCTTACATTTTTTTATACAAATTGGAACATCTCAGAAAATCTACATCTTTTCTCAGAGTTTTTCATATATGTTAATTATGAAATATCGTAAGATTTTAAAGATTTTTTTGTAAGTATAATTTCTGATGAAATATTACAAAATCTCAAAAATTTAAAAATTATGAGATGAGAAATTTCAAAGTATTTTAGAATTTATTTGTATGAGAAGTTCTACTTGCAAGCAACTATTTGTATATAAAGCTTAAAGTTAGCGGCAAAATTTGGAACTAACTCAACAGCTGATATCGACTGGGAAACATGGCGAAATTAACCCATGTCATGTGGGGTTTGTCTTCAAATTTTGCAGCAAATCGGTATTTCTCTCGATTGTTGGCGTAAGTAAAATTTATTTTCTTTTAACACATTAAATCTAACATAATCATTTTGAATAATATGTAAACATGTTACTTCATTATCATAAAATATGACAATATAATTCTGTATATAATATAATATTTAATGTGCTGTATTACATATATATAATATTTTGTTTGAATTTCAATACAAATATTTATGGATATTGCAAGGAAAAAATATATTTTATTAGTAATTGTATTGAAAAATATTAAAAAATAATAAAAATATAT